ATATTCTCATGAATGATTGAGAGAAACATTTTTTCTTTGTTAAATCTGAGAAATGAAATGAAAAAGTTGCAGCATACCCTTATTTTATGTTTTTAAATAACTTGACGCAGAATTTTTCACAAAGCTCTCCACGGAAAGATTCTAGCTTTTAGAGCTACTAGAGCTTTTTTTCACTAAAAAAAGAGGTTAAAAAAATCAAACTGTTTCATCGCGGGTGTTTTTACAACAGTGCTGGCAACATTGCTTTTCACGGACTACCTTGAACGAAGAATGCTAAGAAATACTGGTCTCACTATATTACCATGATGGTACGTTATATGCGACCAGATACCGCAGCCTCAGACGGGCAGGTGTATTTTTTACGCGGGATATAAAATAGTAAACTTCATAGTAAATACTTTTAATAATCGACTTATTACCTTGTCAGGCATCACTATCTTTATGGCTTTTTTTATATAGACGCGTTTGAAATTAAATCGTGATTTAACTATTAGCTTTAAAGGAATTCGCTGTAGTCTGTAAGAGATTCCGTAGGTAATAGCTATCCCCAGGAAATTGAATACTTAATATATTATAAATCGCGAGATATTTTTATTTGGGGAAAGTATCGAAAGATTTCATGCAAATATAAGTTCGCTGCCTAGAAATGTTTTGGCCTGACAAAGTAAAATTTTTGTATGCAAAGCGAATCACGAGAGAGTTTGGTAAATTTGTGGCATATTTAGCAATTTTCAATATATTTTAAATGCGATTTGGGGAAAGTCTCAAACAACTTTTTACCGCCAACCGAACATTCCGACTATAAAATATTGATCACCGTTAGTTTGTCTTTTATCAAGCTTCTCAAAAATGTATAACAGCGAGGGTCCATTTTACTAAACAAAATACAAAGATCCCAATTTTCATAATTTATTATTTAACAAAAATGTAAGTGTGATATATTAATCTAAACAGAATTTTATGCCATATTTAGAAATTAAATGAAATACAGGGTGTTCCATAATCAAAAAGACAGGGTTGCCGCACTCTGTATAAGGTGGTCGTAATTAATAATAATAATAATAATAATAATAATAATAATTTATTACTTTACTACTTTATTATTTATAAATATTTTCACAAATTAATACATTTAGCAAATAAACAAACAAAAGCTCAAACAGGATTATTCGAAAACCTGAAAATGATCAAAACTATAATAATTAAGTATTTATTAAATTATTTTAAAGATTTCTATGTGATGTCTTTTTCATCATGTTATGCACTATACTAGTACGTAAATAAAAAATGTCCTATTTCATAGGCCATCATGGTTAACTATGGTTGCCATAGATAATAAAAAAATGTATTCATTTATGAGAAAACCGAAAATTGTAGAAAAAACCTGGATACGCCACTGCATTTGCTTTCAAAAATGCGCCAATAATGTTTTAATCCGAATTTAAAATCTTCATAAAAAAACATTTATTATTTATATTATTATTAATTATTTTCAATTATTAATTAAATAGCCATTTCAACAAAAATAATTATCGTTTCTATGCCTTTGAAAGACTATATGATCTATAGAGTATGCTACGATAAAATGTTAAACTGAGGAGGCTTTTACGTGATGAAAATCCATTTATCAAAATAAATAAGAACTAATAGTTCAGATTTTCACGAATTTTTTTTTTACAATAAAATGTTAAGTGTGATATAAAGAGCTTTCCAAAATACAATAAAATACATGATATTCCCTAACCAAAAAACCTTTGAGTTATCTCGATAATCTAAAGAAATTTTCAAAAAAATATTTATTAAAATCATTGAACTATATTAATTCGCCTTTTATCATCAAGTTTCTCAACAATATATAACAGTCTCAACCTCAATGTTGTTTTTCTTTCTTATGGAACGTCCTTTATTTAATATATCTAAATAGATATATTTATAGATTGAACAAGTTATTTCTTGAACTACTACTATATTTCTCTTACGCAAAATGACTAACCACCCAACTAATCAAAACTAGATAAATCTCAGTAGTTACCATGCATATTTATTAGAAAACTAATTATCCATTTTGGACTATTTTTACAAAAATCGTCCTAGATCATAGATGCATTGTATGACATCATGTACAGGACACTTAGAGATAAAAAATATTGAATTTATCAGAAAGAGATTCAATATTAAGGCAAATTCAGAAAAAGAATAAAATATTTGGTGTTCCAGAAGAAAAAGAACGTTTAGTTATATTTTGAAAAAGATAAAAAATCTTCAAAAAAATATATATCAAATTTCTCACAAATGAAAAAGTTAAAGACTACTTCCTAAACCGAAAACTTTTGAAAATCCTCTCCCAACTCAAAAAAACTGTCTCCAAATTCAAGCCCAAGACGGGAGTATACGTTTTTGGCAATGTCTGCTAAAAATACAAAAAACATCAAATTTTACGCAACGCTATGTACTATCAAAATACAAGATCCGGTTTGACAAATTAAACGAAATAATATGACGCGAAGTTTCGGAAATATCTGGCATATTTGGCCATCATGGTACTGTATTAAATACTATTAATAAAACAGGATGTGTTAGTGGTACTCATAAACCTTTTAAGCCAGAAGGAAAACAGAAATAATATTAACGGAGTATAAAATAAACGCCGGCATTCTTGTCCAAGGTCATTTTAAATAACCGGGTGATGAATATATCTTTATAATAATAAACACCGAATTTATTAAACGAAATGTGCGGATGATTAATTGCTAAATGTAGATTAAGGTGGCTTAGTGGACTACAAGCTTTAAATCAGGTTTTTGATAAAACGTGAAAAAAAATCTGCTATAAATAATTTATTACTATTTTAGTGTATTTTTTAGTACATAATGATTGAAGTTCAGAAGGATTCAGCAAAAAAAGGATAACACTAATATGTACTTCTATTCTGCTTGAGAGCACAAATAGTTTTCTCGATGCTTGTAACCAAATTGAAAAAATGAACTTTGAACTCAAGATACAATTTAGTTTCTTGGTAGGTTCTGGAGCCGCTACTACCATTTCTGGTGCGAAGTTTTTTTGGTTAGGTAGGTTAGCACTCAAAACCATGTGGGTACCTTTAGTTTGACACTGAAGCTTTGATTTTGCTAAAAATGTGTCAAAAAAACTTTTGAATTATTTATATAAAAAAAAATTATGTCGGAATATGATATTTTTCAGTGGCAGGAATTTTTATAAGGGATAAAATTTACCATAATTTTTAAAATTCAATTTTCAATAAATTTAATTTTAGTTTTAATTAAATTTAATGTAGTATTTGGCTCAAAATTATATTCAACGAATAATCGACAATGGATAACTTTTGATCTATTTTTTCTTGCAATTTAGCTTCGAAAAAGTAAGAAGCGAAAAGTATTTCAAGGTGGGTTTATTCACAGAATAAATTTAAATTTCGTCTCGCTTCATTTGTTTATTTAATTTTCGCATTGACTTGCAAATATATCACCCACTTATTCTGGTGTAAAGTGAAGAATATACAGTGCGTCCAATATAAAAATGCATGGGAACAAGTGTTCAAGTAAATTTTTCACAATCTTACTCGACAAAATTCTGCTAACTTACTTCATAATCCAAAGCGAAATAATAGTAAAAATAGAAATATATGCACACTTGTCAAAGGGGACATTGCTTTCCGAAGACATGGTAATATGAAGCGACATTTATTTATTTAAAACAAAACTAACATTAAAGAAGCTCAAGTAACTAATTAGTTTAATAGTTACACACGCATTTGATGGTATAATTATATCATGAAACTTAACCTAAAATCAAACTCTAATAAAAAAGAACAAAAGAAGAGGAAGAGACTGAAATTTATAATTATAGTTAATTATACATAGCAGGGGCCGAAAGAATATGTTTCTATGTCGGTGACCAAAAAAAAAGGTAATATTACATGCGAAAATCCTTTTATGGGATATGCTCCCTCCATTTTATTCAGATTTCAAAACTTAGTGTGTGTATGATACCCAGGAGACCAAATTGCTGATGCATCCTCTAACTTTGATCTGACGTATGAGTTATGTAATATTTTTATTACTTCTGCGTTATTAAAGTCTCTAATAAAAATGCATAGCTTTTTGATGCGTGTGACAATACTTTATTAATATGAGGACCAAAGGATAATTTTAGTTGGACGTTACTCTTAAGTCACAAAAAATGTTAGAATGGGAGACAGTTCCATCAAAAAGATCAAGTTATTATGTAGAAACTAATTGATTTGCTCCAAACTGCCATGGAGAGTGAGACAATCCTCTAAACGTTGGAATTAAAAAATATATATTGTCGACATATCATAGAAAACTAATATTAAGATCATTGCAAATGTTGAATAATAATGGCCACAGTATTGTGCCTTGAGGGACGTATTCATTGAATGTATGACAAGTATGAAGAAAAAGAGAATCCAAAAGTGCGAAGCTTGTGGATTAGAATTTTATCATTTAGGCGATCAGACGCTTTTGAAATATATCAAAATATTGGTAATGGTGGATCTTCATTTAAAAAATCCATATGACATATTTTGTCATGTAGGAGGGATTCTAAAACCTGAAAGAGATATAGCCCTATAGTTTGTGATTTGCGATCTAGTATTTTTTTGTCTATGGCAACAATTGTTGACATTTTCGGAATACATTTAAAGTTTTGTAATTTTGGGTTACTATCCGTACTTCTCAACCTTTTGTGACATCCGGATTTCTTTTTTATATTGTCTCCAAAACGAGGAACACATATGTTAATAATTGCATACAGTTTGTCATAAAACAAACAGCAGGCAAACTCAAGATCCGATTTCAAGTTTAGAAACATATACCGTACATTAGCAGAAAGTCAGCTTTTTTAAAATTGCGACCCTTACTGCTCTTTCTCATGTTCTTTGGTTTTTATCATGGACACACTGTATTTAACATGTTTTTAAAAATATGTTTTTTATCAAGCGTTTTTTCTATTTGTTTCAGGACAAACAAATACCTTCAAAAATCATCAGTCAGTAGAGTTTGCGCAGTAGGGGGATTTTTCATTTCTATACCAGTATTTTTAACAGGTAAGCATAATTATTATCTTCACTCACTTACTAATACAAAATTCATTCGTAAAAATATTGAATGAATTTAAATGATTCAAGTGGAATGTTTGTCTTTGGAACATGCATAAACTTAATACGTTACTTTAGGCACTTAGGAATAGAGACGTAAATAAATCACGAGAAACCACTTGACAAAATGCGGCGGCAATCTCGACGTATGTTGTCCAATTGCATTTTGAATAAATTTTTAACTATAGTAAGACGAAGAAATTCAAAATGAAAACAAATCAAATCAAAAGTGATCAAGGTTTTAAGGCAGAGACTGAAATAGGTGATAGATTTCATCACTTTAAGCAGAAATGTTTTTATAAACATCGTTCAGGGTGTCAAAGTTTATATTTTTCTAATAATTAAAATACCTCGCTCAATTATCAAGATTTGCATTTGAAATTTGTTGTGGTTAATACTTCCTAAAACATTATTTTAATTTTAAGCTTTTTTTTTAAATCTACAGGATGACACGCGTTTGAGGTAGAGGCTTCTTTTCCGTCAAACGCCTCTGACTTTTTCAAGCAACGAACCGAAATTTTCTTTTAAAATTTATTCTTGAACAAAATTTAATTGCAAATGTAATAAAAGTAAGATAAATCCAATTGGCATCAGTCGTGGGAATACAGTGAATAGAAGGTTAAGGTTTTATTTACTCTTTAAAGTTCAGGGCTAAAATTAAGCGAGTTCTTAAATATTTATTTTTAAAATTTACTTTTACTCTAATAAATTTACTGGTTTGTATCATGTATAAAAACATTTTATTGCATTTTTAACAAATTTTGGCCAAAAGTATTTTTTTTTACTTTTTATAAAAACTTCTGGATTAGTTCTGCGTCGGTTTTTGTTGACTCGAACTAGCTAACGTTTGACCAATCATCCTGTTGGCTTCTTCAGAGCTTGACTGAAACTGCTTGTTGTAGTTTCAGTCAAGCTCTGAAGAAGCCAGTGTTAGCTAGTTCGAGTCAACAAAAACCGACGCAGGAGGAATCCAGAAGTTTTATAAAAAGTATTACAGTAGCCTGTGAAAGTTTCATGGAAAAATTAAAAGGAAAATTTGCTTATTTATCTCCAAAAACAAAAATTTAAAAAGTTTCTACCTCCAAATACGTATCAACCAAAAGCATTAAAAAAAATTTAAATGTTGATCATGAAGGAAGTATAAACCACGACAAATTTCAAATGTTTTCGAGATATTTTAATTAATAGAAAAATATAAATACATTTTGAGATCAGAGTCATGTTTATGTAAATTTTTTGGTTAATATATTAGTTTTTGCCCTAAAACTCGAATCGCCCTGTACATGAGGATTATAATTCTCCCGGTGTTGTCACCCCTGACCCTGCTTTAAACTGGGATTTTTTATCACACATTGAATTTGACAGTAAATTTAAATAACTTGCTAAGCCTCGAGCAATTTTAACTAAGAAATGTGAGATACGAAGTGAATGCCTATAGAATCTCGAAATAAGAACTAAAAGCTTGTTAATTTTGCAAAGAAACTTCCTCAGGCTGCTGTAATGCTTTTTACAAAACTTCTGGATTCCTCCTGCGTCGGTTTTTGCTTAGTAGAAATTGCTGACGTTTAGCCAATCATCCTGTTGGCTTCTTTAGGGCTTGACTGAAACTGTTTCAGTCAAGCTCTAAGTTCAAACTAACCAAAACTAAGCAAAAAACTACGCAGGAGGAATCCAGAAGTTTTGTAAAAAGCAAGAACTAAAAGTTCAGATTTTAACGAAATTATATATTTTCACATGACAATTGTTTCCACAACACCGTGTCTTTATCAAATGTAATATTTACAAACTACATGCTACTATATATACCGAAAAATGACCATAAAACCTTAATTATTGTTGTGAGAATTTTAAGTTTAATAATGGAGAGGTATTTAAATCGAATGGATCGTTAAGCAATACATTTGAATGTCTCATTTTGTTAATCTCCATGGCTTCCAATAAATTTAATTTTCTACTTTTTGTGGCTGTATGTAAAATATCAAAATTGTCGTCAAAAATGTGTTTTTCTGTGTTTAGGTGTGTAGCATAATTACAATCTAGACTATTGTTTTTGAATGTTTTTTTATGTTCGCCAATGCGTTTCTTGAATCATCTACCTGTTTGTCCAATATAAATTTTAGGACAAGATCCGCATTTCAACCTATAGACACCTGATTTTTGAGATTTTGGACGTTTCGTTTTATTGTTTTTAAAAAACTTTTCTATTGTGTTGTTAGTTCTGAAAGCTATTTTAAAACAACATTTTGACAAATGTTTTGAAACTTTTTCACTGGGTTATCTTATGTACGTAATTGTTTTAAATTGTTCGTGTTCTGTATTAGGTTTCGGATAAATAGAGTTTATTGTTGTCTGCATTTGTTTTTGTTTATAATTTTATCGATAATGGACGGATTTTAGCCGTTGTTCAGTGCAATTTGTTTAATGATATTAAGTTCTTTGTTGTAATTTTCTGTTGAGAGTGGCGTATTAAGAAGTCTGTGTATAAAAGAGTGAAATGCAGCCATTTTGTGTGTATAAGGGTGGTTTGAGCTGTTATGTATGACTGTGTCCGTGTGTGAAAGTTTATGATAAATGGAAAAGTCTAATTTGTTTTGCGTTTTCGTAATAGTTAAGTCTAGAAAATGAATAGAGTTATCCTGTTCAATCTCGATAGTGAATTCTATAGGATTATGTAATAACTTAATGCAATTTAACGCATGGGCAGCTCCAGCAGTTAAACTCTCAACAAAATTAGTAAATATTTTAAAGTTTCACACAGATTTTAAACCAAAAATTGCAATAAAAAATTCTTTTGAATTAATCAACAAAATTAAAGATATCAAAATTCCTCATTTCATGTTATTCATATTCATATCTTTGTACGTATATATTTTTGTTATAGAAAATTGCACATACAAGTGATACGTCATATCTCTTAGGATTTCTACTAAATCATTGTCTGCCACCTTCAAGCAAATGGTCGGTTAAGTTAAGCAAGCTTAGCTGAACTTCGCCGAAATCAAAATAAAGGCGGTCTTATTTATTTATTTATTTATAAGCATTTTTCCAGGTATTTGTTATAAGGGCAATATGGGCAGTTACTTGCGCAACAACATAAGTTATCATCTCAAATGATACGTGATCCGGACCAGTTTAGATATTGAATCACAAATTTTATTAAAACTATACCATTGAATGATGTGTTGATCCGTTTTTGAGTGATTCACACTGTTGATAAAAGTATAAGTAAATTCCAGAAGGGTCCACGTTAAACTTGTAATTTAAAAACACCGTTTCATTATGAATAGCAGATATTATGCTTACTAATGCAACATTCTTTACAGGTATTATACTGTACACATTCATCCAATTTCATTCGACCCCCGCCATCGTAACGAGTGTATTTATCGGTCTGGGAATAATATTTTGCGGCTGCGCTATGGTCCACAACGTGTTCATTTGGCAGAAAGAGAAGACGAACGCAGTGAAAGAGCTGGCATTGCGACACGACACGACTCAACATAATTCATTTCACAGCGTCGCTTCCCACCAGCCTCAAACCACCCAACTCAACCACTCGCATGTCAGTAACTTTAATCATAGTTTTGGCCATCCTTTGGCATCCATTCACAGTAATGGGCCTTACATAGTTAGGCCGTCTACGACCACACCTCCTTCGGGCGAAAATTTGAACATCACGAAGCATCCGAGGGAGGCCAGTGGCAGCGTCAGTCCGAGTATGCCGGCCGCTGCTATTGATCTCAGTAGCGTCGCTACTACTAATTCGCCACACGAACTATCGACATTGGTATAATGAATACGGTTTTATAAAATGCTTATGCAATTGATCGAAAACTCCCCTCTAGTCATTTGCAATACTTTCAATCGAATAATATCGCTTACTCCGGCTGCTGGCTGCCAATTTTGTGCGGAAATCCCAAAATAAGACATTTAAAAAAAATATGATGACGTAAACGGATTTTTTTTCATTTGTTTTTAATTTTTAGAGTGGTCATTTGTCTTCAAATCGAGATATTTAAAGATTTGCATTTCAATGAATTAGATACTGCTTAGATGTATATAAGGGTGTTACATTCACAGTTCCTATTAAAATAATGTAATGAAGAAATATAAGATATTACAGATAACTAAAATGTTTTAGAGTTGAGATAAATTCGATTAGAATAATTTTTGCTCTACCCCGCAAAGGAAAGTAGGCATTTGCTTCGGTGAAAAGGGCTCTTCGTACGCTCTCGTTGATTGATTTCAATTGTATTGCCGCTAGAGGGCGGTATGCAACATCACTACAAATAAAATGAGTTTTCTCAAAAAATTAAATGCAGCATCACTTTTATTACAACGAACCATAGGTAAATGAGGGTCTAACACGTTAGTGAAAACTGCATTTTGATGTCTCGTTCGTAACCTATAACATTAAAAAGAAAATTTGTTCGCCATCTTGGGAAATATTTGATTATTATTAAATTTATTTAACTAATTATAATTTTTAATTTAAATTAATTAAAATGAACTAATGCGTTACAACATATTACAATACAATAATACGGATAAAATACTAAGATCTTTGCGTTTTAATGCAGGATCCAGAAACAGTGACTTTTTCAATATTTTGAAAATTAATACAAAATATATCAACTTCAACAGGTGAAAACGGCATTTTTTACAAATAATTTATATTAATATACAAATTTGAAAGTAAATTTATAAATATTTTACTAAAAGAATAAAAATTAAGATTTAATAATGGCAGGTACACTGGAAATATTCCCAAAGATGGGAAATTATTTCGATTTTTTATTTCTTTTACTGATATTCTAGGTTAGGAACGAGATTTCAAAATGCGGTTTTCACTAGCGTGTTAAACGCTTATGTGGCCATCTTTTGTGTATATTTCTTTATAACAATTTTTTTTTGAGAAAATAAGTTCACATTTGACAATATGCATTCTGAAGTTATTAAAATTTATTACTCTCAAAAGAGGAAATTTAACAATGCCATTAAACCTCTAATATTTTACAGCTTGTTCTATTGGCAGCTTTAATTTTTAGTTTTTTCAGCCCAATTAAATTATTTAAAAAATATATATCAAGAAAACTCTTTACGTTAATCATATTGTATATAGTTGTAAAAAAAATCCTATTGGTCATCAAAATTGCCAGCTTCCGGAACAGCTACTTTTATTTTTCCCATCAATGAAATGCTCGACGAATGGAATTCCCAACTTGTTTAAAATTTCAACTTTTACGCTTTATACAGGATGTACCAGAATGATGCCTTTCTCAATGTATAGGAGAAACCCTTCAGTTAGAAAATGCAACATGCGTAGGCATAGCTTGTCAACTGTGCATTGCTAAAATAAACCCTTGTCTGAAAATGTCCGGTTTTCAGGATCATTTTGCCTATTTTGTTGAAATTTACTTTGATAAGGTTTACTATCAACCATGATAATTATAATTCCAGTGACGCGTGAGGGAAACGATTTGGGGGATTAGTTTTTTTAAATACATTTAAGAAATATAGAAATATTAGAACACAGAGCAAATCTATTATATGATTTGATTTTTGCAAATACCGTCGTCACTCATAGGGCATCCCGTATAAAGGTGTATTATTTTCTACTTGGTAGACTGCCAGTGTTGTTACAACTAGTCTTTTACTGTTATTTGAACCTTGCCATTTAATAATTTGAATTTTCCATTTTTCTATAATATATTATATACATACAATGTAAATAAATTGTAATATATAAAAAATATATTTATTGTGTTACTATTTATTAAATGTATTTTCTATTGTATATATAGCATTATACACTGGCATACCCGTTCATGTTTTGTAAATAACGCGATAAAATTAATCGTTTGTAAAATTATAACCAATCGTCAGTGAAATGAATTCAATCGCCAATTGTGTTCAATGGTGTCGATTGCAAACGTTTCCCGGGAAAATGTTATCATAAATTGTTCATTCAAATCAAAGACTCAAGTACAAATGCACTCTGCCTTTTAGCTTTGTTGATAAATGTATTTTTAGGGCGTAAAACACATTTCTAATAGAATATTTTCATACTGTCTTGCCGTATTGACTATTAAATATTTTTAAATATTAGTTTGTTTTAATTTTTCGCATGATACCTATACAGACTCCCATACACCAGACAAGTAAAATAAAATGATTTCACAAGATTGGTAAAGTGCGGCCAAAATTCATAAATAAATAACTAATCGTATTATGCAAAAATGATCAGAAAGCACTAGTGCAACAGAAAGATCCACATGATACTTTTTTGAATCTGCTTAAATCGAAAAAAACCCCGGCAACTATTTTTTATAGTCATATAAATCAGAAAAATAATTTAAATAATTTGCATTTGCAATTTTATTTTAAAAAAATCGATCTAACACTTAGGTTAAATTGGATATAATTTAAGTACTACCATTAATATAACTTTGCAATTTTTATTAGTGATAGTAATTAAGTAAAATCGGTACATAATAAATTTATTTTACGGTAAAAATAGACTTAAACCTTTGAAATAAAAACCTACAAATCTTAAAACAACTTTTTTTTTACTTCAAGTAAGTAATTTAAAGAAGCTAGTTTTTAATTTAAAATATTAATAAAAAGAAGTACGTAAGATTTTAAAAGTACTCTGCTGGTATACGATTGCGCATCTACGGGCATATTCAACAAAAAGACGTTTATATTTTTGATAATTCTTATATTTTAACAACAACAAAACGGTCGGAGTGCTTAAATGGACAAAAAAAAACAATACCGAAAATTCGAAACGCATGAATAATGCAGCTTAAAATAAATAAAGTTAATACACCAACTTTACAAATTGTGTCTATCATAGAAGATGTCAATTAAACAGTAGTCTGAAGGCACCAAAAATTTCGCGTAATCTCATCTCATACCAATATCAACAAAAATCCTATAGAAGGAACCGCTAATATTTATAATAACATATATTAAATCAATCAAAAATAATACTAAAAAATGGTAACATAGAATCCTTATTACTAGTAAACTGCAATAAATATACTTTTCACTTAATACTAGGCTTGGAGATCATGCCATGACTAGAACGTGTATAGGTGTCTTCTCTCTTAATAGAAACAGCATGGTAAAATAGTGAGCTATGGGGAAATAATTTTAATTACCATTGCGATACATTTTTTTTTAAATTTTGCTTTATTTTATTTGAAAGCAATAAAAAAACAACAACAGTGGAATAGAACGAAAACATGAGAATTATTTTAAACATTCATTTTTAATTAAATAAAAAAAAAACAACGATAATGGGCAACTTTAACAATTAAAGTGTGAACAAATAGTTTCTTTTTGGCTTGTAGTTGAGATCAGGGTTTCATAAAAAACAGTTTTATACAAAAGCTGTGAGCTTTGAAAATACCTACAAAATGGGCTACAGTTTGAGTGAATCGTGTAATGAACCAAACAGTTATGGCAACAATTTATATAAATGTTTATTAACAAAATTACAATGAATTTTTGAAAAAAAAATCTATGATCCCATTGTCAAAAAATGTCAGCTTTTACCATGTGCGAAAAACATTGGATACTTTTACTCGAAATTTTTAGCATTACAGTTTAAAAAAAAATCACTTAAAACGTTTTTGGCCATAACTCTTTTGTTTATTAACTGAAACTTTGTTCAAGTAAGTGGACAATTTTCAAAACGAAATATTGCACACCAATTTATTTCTGCCATTATTCTCAAGACTACTGTAAAAATATGGCAATTACAATTACTAATTACTAATTGATTTGAATCACTAATATAACTGGATAACTTTATTTTTTCTTAGTGAAAAGCAAAAAAAAAAAAAAGAACAATCAGCAAAACTTTTTAAAAAATGTGCCACATTTCAGAGGGCGCAAAACATTGGTTAACAAATGGATCGAACGAAAACATTCAAATTATTTTAAAATTCATTTCGAAATAAATAAAAAAAAGATTTTTAAAAATTAAGCAAGCCCAAAACTGTTTTTTTGCATGCTAGTTTTTAATAAGCTAATAATTAGGTAGTTTTCAAAATGAAATATTGTCCCGCCATTATCTTCAAACCCACTGCAAAAATCTGACAATTACAAGTGCCCCAAATACTAATTAATAATATAACTACATGTTTTGTAGCCATAGATTTTGTTTTCTTCTTTCTTCTGGTCACTTTTTCTTCATTTTGCAGAGTGGAAAGCAATAAAAAAATGAAAAAAAAAATCAGCTAAATGCAAAAAAAAAGAGCCATATTACCGATGTGTAAAAATCAACCACAATGGAGTTCTTCACATTCATTTCCTAATAAGTCCATGTAAAAAAAAAAAATTCCAAAACATCCATTTTAGGTTTTAGGCACCAATATAATATAACTAATATAACTCACCCTGTATCAAAGTTCTCCATGCTGTTAATTCTTCACTGGGATACACTTTATAATATTACTCAGTGACTCAAATACTTTTAATTTAGAGGTAATATTATAATGCCAATAATTTAATGGAAAAATCTGAAGCTAGCAGCAAACCTAACGCGACTTTGGTACTGCAGAGTAACATTTGAGTAAAGACCTTTTCTCCTTTGGTTTTTCTCGTTTCTTCTCCGGATATTTATGGTAAACTTGCTTCATCCCGAATTGAACGGGCTCTGCGGTTTGAGTGCGTGTCGTTTGACGTTTCCTCATGTTGTTCCCTGTATAAGCGACCCCTCTCATTTGGTACTCTTGCGTTTCAGGGTTCCACAACAGATGCTGATTGATTTTCCTCTAAAACATCCGAAGCGTTACAGTCACAGTTAAAATAACTAGGCAAAACATTACCAAATACTCGCTGGGAATATAACTCTCTATCATTAAAGAGGCCAGTTGAATTTCCCTCACCAGAAGTGAGTTGTTGTCATTTAAACCTTCGATCTCTCTCTGGTACTCCTGATCTTTATCGGCCATCTCTTCCTTCTCTTCTTTCAACATAGCCTGCACTTTTTTTATTTTTTTAGTGACACCCACATCTTCTTCTTGTAGAGAAGAATATTTTTCCTCTATATCTATTTTCTCTTCAGCCTTTTTATCCAATTGCTCTTTAAGTTGCTGATGACTTCTAGCTAAATTTTCTATCTCTTCCCCTGAAGTTAAAATCAAAAACTCCTGCTCTTGCGCTTTTTCTAAGAGGTTTTCTCCACCGACTATTATCTTCTTCTGTATTTGCGCCATTCTCTCCTCCAGTTCTTTCTTCTCCTTTCTAAAATAAAAAAATATTTACCAAAACTCAAAATAATACAAACTTAACAGCATACTCTGTATTCTCTATTTCCTCTTCAACCTTCTTTGCCTTTTCTAAATTCATTTCTGACGATTTTTCTTTTTTCTTCGATCGTTGTGCTTTCAAACTGATACTAGACAGTTTCGCTTGCAATTCAGCAATCTCTTGCTCGAAACCTTCTATAAGGCCTTTCTCTTCTACGTTAATCTTGGCATGGTTCTTAATATGCTTGACTCTAGCTGCATATCTTAAAGTGCACATGCTCTCCTCATAATCGATCTCTGCAGGACTCAACATTGCAATCTAAAACAAAAGACTTGCTTTTTGCCCCAATAAGTGATTTATTTTACCATTGATGTTTTTGAATTTCCTCCTAATGAATCCTGCAGTAAACGCGTTAGTTTCGAATTTCTATATGGGATATGTTTTTGTTTTCCATCCACCAAAGCGGATATTACACTTCCCAAGACTGATAGGGACTGATTGATACTACTAGCTTCTCTTAGTCTTTCACCGGTCGCTTGTGTTCTGCTAGCTCTTTCGGATCCCTTCAATTACAAACCAAATTGCATCCACACTGATAAAGCCTGTACTACTCACCGCTAAATCTACCAAATTCAACTTGCCAACTGTCGTCTTGTTGCTCATTCGATTTTTTGATTCAATAGTTATTGTAAAAATGGCATGAGATCGGCTGCTTACATCATTCATTAAAGTAGACCTCGTTACTCTATTTTTATTACCAGCATTTAATAATTTCATTATCGACTCCACTGAATCCACAGTGAATCCACTTAGATCTTTCACATACACTCCAATATCTGTTCTCTCCTTAATTTGCAATTTTTTGTTGGGGTTATCGGACAAAAGATCACGCACTTCTTCATTGTAAATTTCAAGGTATGTGACTTTAACCACGAAGGATTTCTCTTCACTGGCATGTGCGATTTGGGCAAAAATATGGGAGAAAGTGTTTGGAATAATCCCCCTTAATTCAGCGACATTGTTTTCCCCTGCCATTGTGTATGTTTTGCCGGTTCCAGTTTGTCCATACGCGAAAATTGTCCCATTATAACCAGTTAAAGCTTGCTCCACAATAGGAGCTGCTACTTTGACGTATACATCCAACTACAACTTTGTACATTATATTTCCATGGAAAATTCAGCAGTAGCCTTACCTGAGTAGACAAAGGTCCAAATATATGATCAAATTTAAATGTTCTGCAATGAACTTCCCCTTTAGTTAATGCTAAAATGTTTTCCTTGTAGTCGCATATCACAATATTGGATTCTTGTTCAGAAGTTTCTTTTTGGTTCATGGGTCGTATCCGCACGAAAACTCCGATATTTTCGGAAACCGGCTGCGCGTTCTCGTCCATTTGTGCTTCACTAGTTTAAATTCGGGTCTAATTCTTTTAAAAAATCAATTTATTAATCGCCAAAACAATTAAATGACACAAGTGGAGTGACAACTACAGGTGACAGCCTCGTGACAGCATGTGTCAAGAGCCACGGAATAGGAGTCTCTTGTATATATTCTGTGACATATATGAATTTAAAATCCAATGGAAAATATAGCGGCCTTAAATACGTAAAAAATGTAACACCTCATCCAGCTAGCTAAACTCAACTAGCACTCTTCACCGACTTTTAGTTGAAAATTAAGTGGCACATATTTTCTATACATTATCTAATATTATTGGAAGCTTATGTTATATTAAAGACCGAAGGACAGTTCAATTTTCTTTCCTACAGCAATACCTGCCGCGCCACCTATGTTCCAAAAGTTTAACCGGGAAAACTATTAGATGATGCAGGGGCTATTAATACTCTAAAGTTGATGAGCTTCAAACTCCTATAGCACTCAAGTCTTTCTTTCTTTTTTCCAAAAACTTAATGCGATATGGGCATATTGACGAAATACTGCCGAATTAATGAACTGTCAGCGGACATTTTGATTGCTGAACTTTGAAAGGTTTTTTTTGGTTCGTTTAAAACAATAGGTCTTATTGCTCAAATGGTTCTTCACAAAATATTTTTAGTTTTTTTCATTATGTATGTTAATTTTTCATTCTTTGTTGCCAAATTTGAATAATCATTTCTGCCGTCTCAAATATTTTCCAGGTTTTTCTAGTTTCGTACCTATTGTAGCAGTCATTTGAAATGTCATTTTGCACCGACAAGACGTTCAAACAATCAACATGGCTGCTGACAAATTGACAATTGAACAGGTTTCAGTGTAAAGGTGGTAATTTTATTGCAGTATTTTCTCAAAATAGGCCTAGCTCTCGTTAAATGTTCTGGGAAATAAGTCAACTGTTTAGAGATCCCTGTTTAGAAATATATCCAAATCATCTTAGGTTATTAATAGTACCATATGTTTAGGTTAGGTTTTTGTCTTGATTTCTTATTTTTTAATTAATAGAAATTGTAGTTTTAATTAGATAGATTGTGATGTCTCGTAAAGTGCAATTTGATAGTTTAAATTCCTCAATTCTAGGATCCTCTCATTAAATTATTAGATGTGAATTTAATAACACTATCTATATTGACATAATTCTTAATTTAAATAAAGGCACAAGGCAACATATTAACAAATAATTAAAAACAGCAAATTAATAATTTTATTTTTAACTCTGCCTACAAAAATACTAAATACATTTCAATATGAAAATGTACTTGTGGAAAATATTAGTGAACAATAAATGTAAATTAACTAATGAATTTATCATAAATTAAACTTCCTGTTATCCCAATTTAGAACAATTGGAAAATTTTGTCTTGTCAAATTTTTAATAGTATATTCTGGGTACATTTACATGATACTACTACAACAGTTTATTATTGTTGGGAAGTTGTGTTTGGGTCACAAAATTGTTTCAGTAAAACATGCGCTTTCAAAATAAACTTTTAAAGTCAAAATTTTGGCACAGGAATTTCATCGACAATTTTTAAACTTCGGTGAATGTTACTACTAAATTTTTGTTTTAAAATAATTATATACAGGGTGTCCAGAAAAGTGTGGGCAATTTCTCAGCTTTTGTTTGAATAACTTTTATATAATTTATAACGTCCTCCTTTATCAGGACCGGATTTCTTGCAGTACAGAAAGAATGGCATCGTTTATTTAAAAAAAAGTGTATCCCAAAAACCTAAAAAATGCCCTAATATAAGTACTTCAGCCTTGTCTGTCAAGGGAATGACATATATATACGAGTTTAACCTGAAAGAATGTCCGCATTTCCTTTAACACCTTGTACACTTGCTTAGTAAATAGTGAAGGCACGGGCTAATATTTACAGAGAATCTTACCAATGGATTGTACTTCCAACATTTTAAAAAATAGATATAAACGAATTTTTCTCTAGTGCGATCGATTATGTGATGCTTATTTCCTGAATACATTTTAACGTGTTCTAAAATCTAGGTGAGATAACAATATATAAATGCTACAGGTCCAAATCCTCGAAATAAAAGCATTCATATCAACAATTAAATTTTCTTAGGGCTAACAACTTTTTTACGTCGCTTATTCAATAAGGAATTGTTCGATTTTTCTAAAGGTTTTATTTGTACTTGATCATAGTCAACGCGCATGGTTGCTAAAGATCTGGTCATTTCCTCCTGTACTTCTGGCCACAATTCCTCTCCCTCTTTCAGCATTCTATTTGTGTGAAGTGGAGTTTGAGGAACGGCGGTGTATTGCTATAGACATTTCGATTAGAGGATTTTAATCCAAAGTAATACAACTTACCGCTATCCATCTGTTACTCATCACATTTTCAATGGTAAGTCTTTCTGCTGGATCAATATTTAACATACCCTTTATGAGATCTTTAGCGTCTTGGCTAACATTTTGCCACTCTGGCAAAGGAAAAGTATATTGTCCTGTACGTATCCTTTTCTTCATCCCAGGAGAAATAGCTAGTCCATGGCTGCTATAAAAAGGTGGAAAACCACACAATCTGAAAGCAAGCTCCGATTATTACTATCAACTCACTAAATATAAAAACCTTACAAAATATACATAATAACTCCTAGTGACCAAATATCACAGCTCTTATCATACTTTTCCGGTCCTAGCACCTCAGGGGCTGAAAAATAAGCTCACAAATCTACTATGTTTATTATAATTCTCTAACTCACCAACATAATAGGGAGTGTAACATGGCGTCTGCAGTGTTTCCTTATTTATTGTTTCTTTAGCGAAACCAAAGTCTGTCAATTTAAGTATTCCATAAGTACCTTTCTTGGAATAAAGCAAATTTTCTGGTTTGAGGTCCCTATGGGCAATGTTAATGTCGTGCAGATACTTTACAGCAAGGCAAATCTCATGCATTATTTGGGCAGCCTCTAAAACATATATCTAAAACAAAATACAAGTAATATAAGTCTATCTCAAACCTCTTTCGGTAAAAGCCCCATCAGGACGGTCCTGAATCCTTTGAAACAATTCTCCACCTTCCATGCTAAAAAAAATGTTTTATGGGAAAACAACAACTGAATTTACATTACCATTCCATGATAACCAAGAGGCAAGTGTTGTTGTGGTATTTGTTTTCAAATACATCTATTATGTTGACAATATGCCTGCATCCGCCACTTGCTCTCCAATGCAAATTCACTTCTCTCTTAGCCTTCTCGCTCTCAATAAGAATCTAAGTAATAAATAACTAGTTTCATCGGGATAATAGTTGAATTCTTACCTTCAAAGCAAACTTTTCTTTGGTTTTTTTTGAAAAACACTCCACCACCTTTCCATTAATCCCCAAGCCCAAAACTTGCTTTGTAATTTCATATTCCTCCGTCACGGGGGTTTTTTTTGGAACGAGATTTCTGATGGCGTTCATTCTAAATTTCAGCAAATTGTGTAATGTTGACTTTTCACTCTACCTGAATCTTAACCTGAAACTTGGCTTATCTCATATTCTAACTGCAACTAAAATAAACTCTATTTAGGAAAATGCTGTACCCATTCCTAAATGAAATTCGTTACAGGTACCTGCATATATTAAACACGTAGTATCCGGGACTCTAAACCAAGTATTCGGATAACCAAAAATGCACAAAAGACCACTGTATTCTAATTCTTGCCTTGCAAGAACCAAGTTATAAACTAGATTTAAACACTCACATTCTTCGATGACTTATCACAGGAATTCTTAGTTTTTGGACGAAAATAAATAATTTTTGACATACACAAAATTAGACATTTGCTTTGAGCATAGAACAAACCGGAACTGCATCAAACCAGAGAAAAACGAACCAATTGGTTTTAATGATAAATATAGGCAATAATTTTTAGATTTTTAAATTTGTATATATTCAGTGTTCGAAGTGTTTTCGGAGCGCGAGCATTGAAGATGCCAAGTGAGATTTTGGCGAAACGTCTGCAGGATTCCAGTCGGATGCAGGATTCCAGTCGGAGTTCAACGAGCGAACGGATGATATCCCGGAGTATAGTGTCATCATATATATATATATATATATATATATATATATATATATATATATATATATATATATATATATATATATATATATATATAGTTTTGGTTAGTTTAGGGACTTAGTTGGGGCAACATATGTCACTTGCCATGTCCCGAGTTGTGACGTAGTCCAGGCAAATTTGTCATTTGCTGACACTTGCCCGGAAATTGCCGTTTTATCATTGTGTTGGTTTAAGTAGATACTAGACCTTTGCTGTTGTTGATCTTTCAAAGAAATGACGTAAATAAACAAAAAGTAGTGTATTAAACGCATTTACATGTTACATTATGGATTTTTTATTAATTGCAATTCTCCCATTTTCATCTACGTATATATGTATATTTATAAAAAACGTTTAGACTAAAATTTTGGCGCTGTATTTTTCATTAAATATAAATAAAGTTAAAAATAGGGCATATAAACTGCAGAACTTACAATCATTATTCATGTACACACGTGGAAATTTCCTGAAATATGGGACATAATATTTAGGATTTGTGGGAAATCTTGTTAGTTATAGCCATTTCAGCAGATGTGTTCTCTCCTTGCAAACATTCGATAAGGTAAAAAATTGGTAAAAAAATACTCTAATAACTGTTTGCCTAGTGACTGCTTGTTGTATGTAAATTAAATATATTTTTTATTTTGTAAAAAATAATAGAGAAATGTACAATGTCAGGGTACAAAATATAATTAAAAATATAAATAGTACCTACAATTATCCTTTATCATAGCGGTATTTGTGTTACTACCAACTGTCTAGTATTAACAGGAACTCATATTCAGGCTGCGATGTACAATTTCGCCAAAAGTGACAGGTCTACAGTGAATGCTTTGGGTTACATATAAAAAATAATTCATAGCAATTATACTCATCACTTTAACTAAATTACTTCTATCAGTATAACAAGAAATATGACCATCACTACAGGGTTACTCTTGCTGTTTTCTTAATACATGCTTTCTCAATGCTGGCATCATTACTATATACGAATTAAAACAATAACAGATTCATTTAGATAAAACTGATGAGAACAATTGAAAAATAAACTTATCATGGACTAATAAAATACAGCTCACCCCGAAACTCCCCTGACAAATGGTGCTCCAAAAATTTTTTAATTACTTGCTTGTTTCGTGGAAGATTTGTTGGCCAGAGACGTGCTTCGGTAGATTAATATTACAAAATTTTTAGAGGCTATTTGAAACGAATTTAAAGGGTAGAGGAATGTTCATAGGAAAGTGCTGTTTCTATCAAATTTCGTCAGGAATGTTTCTGGATAGGCCGCACGTCCATATGGGAAGTAGTCACAGTGCTGGCAAGGGCACAAAAATGGGCCATTTTAATGGTTCTTAAGAGAGTAATGCTGTTGGTACTCACAATCTAAATTAATTTAAAATTATGGATTAAAATGGGAAGAGTGAGAGGGTAGCAATTTAAAAGGGTTCAGCAAAAGAAAATGGGATTAGCTACAAATATTTGACAGTGGTGCGGCTTTAAACAGAGAAAAGTAAATGACCCATTTTTGAACAAAAATAAATAAATAAATAAAACGGATCCAAATTTTTGTTTCTGCCTCCTGTATAACTGTAAAACTGCAACTGAACCTGTGTGTTTGTTAAAAATGATCATAAAAAAAATGAAAAACATCACAGGTCACATATTACAACTATATATTTCTATCTTTGGTAAATTTATTTACTTAAAACTATAATTTACTTCATGCAGTAAGCAGCAAGCACTTTCGCGCAATTTCTTGTTATAATGAGTGAGATTTTCGAGAGTATTTCCTGAGCAAAATATTCATTTTAAATAATTTGGTTTCGTCAGAAACCGTCTGAACACTTTTGAGGGGATTCCTTAATTAACGCAGTATCTATATTTTCCGAAATATATTTACAAATTAACCAACTGCGGTTAGCATTGAGTTGAGTCGACTACACCATTTCTGATGCGCCCTCCGACGTATCCATTGGCGGTGGGCTCTTCTGAAATACTGGGAAACCGATGATGTGTATCGATGTCGATATCGTCAGACTCTTGGGACTCGGAGGGAGTATAGCCGTGCGTGGTTCGATCTGGAGGCCTTCTCAATGGTGTAGCTGCCTCTGTTTCGTTATCATTATGACACGGAGATGTCGGTAGCCGCGTTGATCTTGCCTCTTTTCCGGCTGGACTGTGATAGAACGATACCTGGGAGAACACCGGACTGGCGTCTTCTAAGAGAATTTGGCAAAGCTTCATAAAAGTAGGTCGAGCTGTAGGTTTATGTTGCCAACAGAATCTCATTAAAGCGTACAGCTTGTCGGGACAGTTTTCAGGCCGTTCCATGACACCACCGTCGATAACGTACCGTAAGACCTGATCGTTTGATAGGCCTTGGTAAGGTTGGGACGCCAAAGTTGCCATTTCCCACAACACCACGCCGTAACTCCATACGTCGCTACTGCTGGTAAACACACCGTCTTTCAAACTCTCTGGAGCCATCCATCTCACCGGTAACAACCCCTTTGTACCTTTACGATAATAGTCAGTCTCATAAATATCTCTAGTCATCCCGAAATCTCCGATCTTCACTGTCATTTCTTCCGACACCATGCAATTCCGAGCAGCCAAATCGCGATGCACGAATTTTTTCGCCTCCAGATAGGCCATACCGTCGGCAATTTCGATCGCCATCTGAAGAATTTGTTTTAAACTAGGAGGTTGTTTAGGGATGATGGAGTTCAGCGACTCCGCGTCTGGCCTGTGGGATCTTAGGTACGACTTTAAGTCGCCGTGGGCCATAAGCTCCATTATCACCAGTGTCGGTTGGCCCTGAGAGACGACACCCAGGAGTCTTACCACGTGGGCTGTGTCAAAAGCCTTCATTACTGATGCTTCGTTCAAAAAATCCACTCTCTCCCTGAAAGGCGAGGAAACACGTATTGTTAACTTTATGTAAAAATTTGTTATATAATAATACACAGAAAATACCTAAAAATAAACAAATGAATTGCATCTTAAACCAGCCCAAAACGAAAATTTTTCAACTTTTTAAAACAGAAAAATAAGGTCTCGCAAATGGTTCCAAATTCGTCCTTGCCCCACGTATTATCCCAAAATGTCGAATCTACCCCGACTGCCATCTCAAACGATGATTTATTTGATAGTCCTTCATAGCCATTATCTACCAACAGAATTTGTGTTCTAAGTTCATTTGACTCCAGAATGTTATAAATGTGCTAGTAAAAACCATCAATTTTATTCGCTCTCGCGAGCTTAACCATCGTCAGAAAAAAGCGTTTTTGAATGAAATATCAGCCGAATATGACGACGTAACATATTATTTTAAAATCAGTAACGACTAGGCAAAGGGAAAATGCCAAAACGGTTGTACGAGTTTGGAAACTAGATAGCGAATTTTATGCAAAGACAAACCAATATTTCAATGAGTGATACTGAAGAACTTAACTTACTGTCGGATCAATTTTGGAAGAGAAAAAAGTTTAGACGATCTTTATATTTAGAAATAACCATGTATAGTGAGTCAAAGTTAGCAATACCCTAAAAGGTGATTTATGGCGTAGAATTAAAATAGGGAATCTCTCCTGTATCAACCTACAGTCTATAGATTTATGGAAGAGTTTATAGAGAGTGGATACAGATAAATAAGTTAAGACACTCCATGACAAAAAGTTGGAGTAACAAAAGATCTCTTAAGGTATCAACCTCTCCAAGGGCACACCATTGAGTGTATAGGCGGCTATTGTATATAGAGTTTACAGTGCACCACTGATTTATCATGAGCAAAGCGTTTTGGTTAGTTAGCAATGCAACTAACCAATGAGGTAAATTTAACGGTATGGGGACCTAATTGAAAAAGAACGTTATTTTTTCACACAGAATTAATTCATTAATTAACTTATGCAATTTGAAGAAGTGACTTCACGCCTGTTCCAACGAAGTAGCTCTGATGATATCCAATCTCCGCTGGGAGTGACACCAGAAGAAAAAGGAAACTGCATACAAAAAAATCACAGGGATATACGATATTTTATATAAAGTTACCTTTTATACATTGGTTTCAAGAACTTACCTATTTGTAGCGTGTTCGTTCACCGTTTTAACAGCACAGCGAATGGAGGATTGTCCGTTTACGTCGTGAGCGATACCTTCCCAGACCATACCAAAGCTACCCTGACCCAACTCTTTGATTAACTCGATTTTTTTACGAGACACTTCCCACTCGTCCGGTATATATACGCTAGCCACGTACTCCGGGTTTACAGCTGGTATAAGTCTCATGTTCTTCCGCTCCTTTACGTTTCTTCTATAAAACCAACAACCGACGACCACCACAATCTGCAACCGTTGGTTTGTATTGTTTGGAGGATTGAAGAAAATTTCCAACGAGGGATAAACCGCAGAGTAATAATAATGTACAGTATTGATCAATTGCGGATTCCGTATTTGCTAATGATGTAAACAGCTTCTACCACTTTTAATCGCACACCAATTTCAATGATAGTTGAGATGAAAATTTTGTTAATTTAATAACTTAGAATTTTTGTAAAATTTCTGAAACTGAAACGTCAGATTTACAGGGTGATTCGTAAAGAGGGGACAGTCTCTAAACCGGAGGTAGCAGCAGCCAAGATATTATGAATTCCAACATTTGATTCGAAGTTTTTTTTAATACCAAAATTGTTATTGTTAAATATTGGGTTTTCTTTAAAAAACTCATAAAAATTACCTTTCACTTTTTAAATGCAATTTTCAATGAAATAGTTTTTTATTGTGATTCAATGATAACTCCAAATGCGACTCAATTTATTTAAGCAAAACATACATTTTGATGTCTAATACTATGTGATGTTTCGATTCGGCCTGTCCCTTACGAGAGCCTTTATGTAAGAAATTCTGAAATGTTTTCCCAGTTTTAACTTATTTTCTAGAGATTCGGACTTATTTTCCAGAGATTCTGGCATAAGTTAGACATTCTGACTCATTTCATTTCAGTTCCTTGATAATTTAAGGACTTAAATTACACTAATACTTTTTCCAAAACTTCTGGATTCCTCCTGCGTCGATTTTTGTTGAGTCGAACTTGCTGACGTTTCGCCAATTATCCTCTTGGTTTCTTCAGAGCTTGACTGAAACTAGCTAGTATTTTACTCTGTACCTGCTTATATATATTGTTTGAGGGGGGCGGAGCTAAATGAGGAGCATAAAGACCGTCTCGAATGACTGATTCCCATATTGGTAACAGATGGAGACCTGAGTCGCCTTAATTGAAAAATGCTTGTCGGGAACATATTTTTCTTATAACGCTCAAATTTTCGGAATAGCTATGGGTTCTCCTCTATCATCAGTCATCGCGAATATATTTATTGAAGCTTTTGAGAAGAAAGCTCTCGACACCTTTCATCTAAAACCAAAATTATGGAAACGGTACGTGGATGATAGTTTTGTTATTTTGCTTCGTAGATATTAGATATTCTTATCAATAGCAAATCAGACCTAACATTGAGTAATTGTGTTTACAGAAAATCTACGCACACAGACCGATACCTTAATGCATGGTCACATCACCATCCGGCCCAAAAGTCATTGGTTATCAACTCTCTTGTTTACAGAGCCGTAAATCTAACTCAGCCCGAATCACTGAACACAGAATTAACACACCTTACCTCTGCTCTTCTCTCTAATAATTTCCACATTAAAGATATTAAAAATTCCATCAAAAAATACACTTCACCACAACCTTCCAATAGCAAGGAGGCCAAAAGCAGCCACTGTGGTCCTTTCTTACATTCAAAATATCACTGACCACATATTAAAAGTTCTAAAGAAGCATACCTTCAAAACCAGATTTACCACTTGTTCAAAAATCTCTCAACATCTTCGGTCCGCCAAAGACAAAATTCCATTTGAGATTCCACGAGTTTACAGCATTCAAGACAAATAAACTCATCAGATGTTGCCGAACACACTCATGAAACCGAACAAAAAATTTTATTCGATAAAACAAAAATTCTTGCATGTAATCAGTTCTTCTACCAACGAAAAATCCGAGAGTCTATAGAAATCTATTAACAACCTAATAATCTTAACCGCGACTCAGGTCTCTACCTATCACCAATATGGGAATCAGTCATCCGAGACGGTGTTTATGACCCTCATTTAGCTCCGCCCCCTCAAGCAATATATAAGCAGGTACAGAGTAAAATACGAGTCAGTTTCAGTCAAGCTCTGAAGAAGCCCACAGGATAATTGGCGAAACGTCAGCAAGTTCGATTCAGCAAAAACCGAAGCCGGAGGAATCCAGACGTTTTGTAAAAAGTATTACAGTAGCCTGTGGAAGTTTCTTTGAGAAATTAAATTACACTACATCACGAAGGTATCTGAAATTATTTTCATTTTTTCTTCTTCAAATAGAAATAATATAATGGCCTTGGTCATTCTGGTATTCGGACGTGAATTATCTGGGGTTCCACGGTTTTATTATCATCATTATTATTTTTGAAACGTGTCTATTTAGGCAGAAATAAAAAAGTAGAAGGTTTAAAAAACGCTGGAAATTAATTAATTACAAATGGTATGTTTTGATCGTGCAAATAAATATATTTTCATTTGAAGTACATTTACTTGCCTTTACAAAAAAACAAAGAATTCCCAGGGATTCCAAGGAATTTCACTGGAATTCCAAAGAATTACAAGTATAAAAGGAATTACGGTGTACACTCTTAGCTTTGCGGTTTACCCCTCGACTTTGAATTTACCGAAAACAAAGAAAAGAGAACGATGGTGGTGACTAAGACTCCGTACGATGTCGGTTCTTCGATGACGAAATTAACGCAATCAGAATATTCTCCATCTCCGGCTAATGAGGTTGCCTTTAAACAAAGACTGTAATTGCCCGGAAATAATTTAGTAATCGTATAGCTCATAGACGACTTGCCTATGTTGTACTTCTTAAAATCTTTTAAGGAGATGCACTCTTTGTTAGGTTGAGCCTGCAACGAGTTACGGTGAATGATAAAGGGAAATCTTAAGAGTCGAATAACAACGCACGTTTTTGCTACCTTCACGCTTATAGTGGAATAATATGGACACAATCTTGCCGTTAGGGTCTGGCGGCTGATGCCAGCTCACCGTTACAGTCTCCAAACTTTTATTTGTTATTGTAACGTTTGTAATATTGTCAGCTCCCACTAAAATGATATAGATTAGTTGGGCGGTCCGTTGGAAGGAAGTACATACCTATAGGTAAACTCTTTCTAGATTTCTACTGCATCTGGTATTGACTCTGTCTGAAAGGGAGAGTGGGGTGTGATTGAATTGCTATATACACTCAAAACTCAATTTCACTTTCTAGACTCTCTTTTAAATCGTATACCAGACTTCCGGCTATAGAAACTGCAATATCACATCAGTAATTAGCCTAACTCACTTCCGTTCCCAAGATATACGTTCTGTGGGAAGGAGTACATCGCAAAACCAGATAAAAAAATACCAACCAGATTAAAAGATTAAGACCAGAATTTATCTGTTATCCAAGAGAAATTCGCGAGTCTATCGAAATCTTCAAACATTAACTAATTAAACCCCCCTCCTCAGTTGCCCTGCCTTCAACAGGTATTTAAAATGTTTGCAGAGCAAACTTTATGGACAAGTATCAGGAACATTTTGAAAAAGAAGCCATGACATCTAAAACTGAAACTGCGGAAAAGATCCGTAGATGATGTTTTTGTTCATTCGTAACGCGGTTTAGAATCTCTTCAATGTTCTCTCAATTAGTTAAACCATATACATCTGAACATCAATTTATAAATCGAATGAGACAATAACGTCCCGTCTAGACATTCTTCAATCGTTACCTAAATGTAATACCACGTCACCATTCAGCCCAAAAATCTTCCGTGTTTAATTACTTCGGTTTTAGAGGAATGTCACTCTCTCAACTATGAATTAACACGGAGCACTTCAGATAACTACCGAACAATACAGCACCATACCAGGAACCACCTATACAAAATAACTCGATATCGATCGATGAACGATACAATGCAGCTGTGATAAAGAATACACCGGAAAACAGGTCAACCAGAGTAAAAGAAAACCAGCTTCTAAACATAACGGGAAAGGGCAGCCACAAGCATGTTTGGCAATATAGAGTCTATACCGAATGCAGGAAATATCCAGAAGAATGTACGAACCATTAAAATACATACCTTTCCTTAGAGTGGGGACTGTCTCAACATCATTCAAGCTGCATTCAGGCTCGAGATCGTTATCCACCTTTTCCCTGCACGCCTTAATGTACACATCGTAGAAAGTAAAATGGTGCAAGTTCTTGATATAGTATTCGGTTTGCCCTACCACGTTAAATGTAAAAGTTTCGTATATTTCGCTACCGATTTCCGTTTTGTTCAAAATCGGAGCTTCATTCTTCGAGCCATCCTGAAGATAAGCGGTGGAGTTTGGAAACTTGGCGGGAATTTTGCTGCTCTGGGAACTATTCCCGTAGGTCTCTATATCCTCATACGCGTGTCTTCTTTTCCTGCTGATTACGTCAGTCCTTTTAACGTAGACCTCATTGTGTAACGCGTCTTCGAATTTTATCCTCGCCCATTCTTCCACTTCGTCGATGGTAGCTCTATCTTGCTTACCACTGTCGTAGCAACTATCGTTCTTCGGCGAAGGGGTAGATGGTAGCGGAGATGGAGTTTCCGGCTTGTAATCCACCACGGGGTTTTTGCAATAGTCGCGTTTTATGTCGAGCAAAAGATCTTTCCTCTTGCTACCGGATAAAACGTAGTGCGTTATTTTCCCATTAGGGTGTCGTGGAGCAGTCCATTTGGCGTACAACGAATCGCTCGAGTTGCTGGTCACCGTTAATGTGGGCACACCCGGTCTGGAGGGTTTCGTTACGAAATACTGGATTTTACTTTCAGCTCCTCGCTTTTCGTTGGCTACGGTGTAAGTACGCACGTAAAATGCGTATTGCGTGTAAGGTTTTAAGTTAGTTAAAGGATGCTGAACGGGATCTACGTTTGGATTATTGGGCACGTCGTCTACGTGCCAATTATCTTGTCCGCAAGCGTCACGTCCGTCGTAAGAGTTGACCGTCCTATTCGGAGCTTCAATACTAAACACCGTGTAGCTGAGCAAGCTACGAGTATCCTCGATCACCCTGTAAGGTTGCCATTCTAGAATGACTCCTTTGCTTTCTATCTTCGTTACGTTTACTACCAATTCGGTAACGTTGCACGCGACTTTGTCGCCGTTCGAAGTCGGCGCGACTTCCAGATCGGTGAAATCCGGCAACTTCGCGACCGTCTTCAACTCCTCAATTTTGCTGTAGCACAGCATCGGGTTAAAGTGGAAAAACAAAGAGCCGTTATCGATTTTGATGGTTCGATTGTTGTCCCAATCCCATAAATCTTGTAGGTTCTGGTTGTCCAACACCACCAAGCTGTACTTTTGGCTTTCTAGATACTTGCCGCCGATCCTCTTGAGGTTTCTGAGGAAGTTCAGCGACACCAACGAGAACGACCTCACCACTTTGAGGTACCCGTCGATTTCTTCGATCATACTCAAATTGTCCTCCAATTCTTTAACTACGTTATTACCGCCCCTAATCTGGATTTCCAGGGAGCTGGTGATGTGAGTGCAACCCCTCAATTGCTTCGCTAAATTGATGCTGTCTATGCTAGCTCCAGGACATTCCTTTTTGCAAGTATTGTCGCATTTTTTACAAGTGCTACGCTCGTAATCGTCAGCGTAGTTAGTCGGACATTGCAGTATGCAAGATCCGTTGAAAATTTTGTAAGGGTTCTTGCCGTTATCGTTGATAGGCCCTCTGATGCCTGTGGGACGGCTCATGCTTAGGCATTCTTCTTTAGATACACACCGTCTATCTAAATATTTATAATACTGTGGCGGGCATTGCTCTACGCATACGGGTGGCTGCTGGGGTCCGACATAATGGCGACAAACCGAACATTTCCTGGTGTCATTAATACTGCAACCTCCCATGCAATGAGAATCGCAACATTTCCCAATCTCGTTACATACGTCGCAACCTTTGCAGATTTTCTGACAGTGTTCTCTGTTCCAGCAAAGGTACCTGTCCTTGCCCGTGGTATCCCGCGGACAGGACATTCCGTTCACCGATTCCGGACACACCGGACATTCGTTTTCCGGCTTAAAGCTTTTCAAATTAGGAACTATCGATTTGTCGTGAATAATTCGATTCCAATCGATCGTATGCACGTAACACAACGACGGGTTTTTGTCAATATGGACGGAACCTCGGAGGATATCCGTTAAGGAATACAAACCGATTTCTTGCAACATTGACATTTCGAATACTATTAACGCCTTATTACTAGGAAATAAATTTTGGCCTCGTATGATGGCCAAATTCGGAAACAGTTGGCCTATACTGCGAAGTCCGTTTACTCTAAATAATAATAAATAATCGGTAATTTCAGTCAATTCGGGAAAACTGATTTTTTCCAGGTCAGTTTCGTTCACATTGTCGAAAAGCAGAATCTGCAAGTATCCCTCGACTACTTGGCAACCTTCCAATTCGGCAAAAGACTCCACCTTATTGCGTATATCGATACTTTTGCAGACTACAATAAAAAACATTTACATAATACGGGTTCGCGAATGGTGGCGGCTTACCCTACTCGTTAATTACGATGGTGGTAAAGCTTTTTTTGGAAATATAAAGCTGACGCCATTTATAGCACCAAAACAATTATTTATTATACGAGGTGTGTTCAATAAGTAGGGCGACTTTTAGTTTTATCAAAAACTATTTATTTATTTATCAAAATTAATGATCTCACAAAAAAAATTACCTGCAAATACCTACAAACTGGATGAAACCGGGAACATATTTTTTAAACATACCTCGTACACTCAGGTGCAAAAAAAACAGTGAAATAGTTGGTAAAAATTCAGGAAACATATTTTTTTTATTTTTGCGCGAATTTTAACTTCAGAATAACTAAACACATGAAAACAAAAAACAAAGAAATTTGGGAAATTAAAATGTTAAAATAACAGCAGCTATGCAACAATATTTGTACAATTTCTTATGTCCAATTCTTTTCCTAAAAGTCTCCGCACTTCAAAATGGCAATATTTAGCGTATAATGGGTATCACAGACGCAAAACCTTATTAAAAGTATCAGGAAAACTTGCTGTGATCTATGTTCTTCAAAATATTCTCACTGCTGCCTGTTGTTGCCAGATCTAGTTTAAAGCGATAACAATTCTGGAAGTATAATTGGAACACACTGTAGGTTATTCTGTCGATTGACGTATAAATAAGTTTTGTCTTCACAAAAGACGCCAAATTTTGTCAAATAAAACACCTAATAATAAAGTTTAACCCACTCACTGACAGACTCTGTAGGTTAAGATTGAAATTAGATAAGCTATCTCCTTTAGACCCAGAATACGAAACCATAGTAAGCATGAAGTAACAAATGAGAATGTATAATTTCTCATAGATTTTGCAATACAAATAAGCTTGATAATTACGAGTGCATACTTCCACAGGAAATATACAAGTAGAATCATGGACTTATCGAAAAAAGAAAGAGCGATTAAAATGCAATAAAATGAAGCAAATTAAACCAACACATCTAGGAAAGCACAAAATGATTATAGAAAAAACCAATGCAGGGCATTGGATAGTATCAACCAGACAGAGGACATCAATGAGAAATGGAGGAAAGCTATGGAAACTACTCACGGTTTGATGAGAAATGCCAAACGTAATTAAATAGGATACGAACAATCAAAGAAAAAAGTGAATCCAATACAGAATAAAGAAGTATAAAAAAGATGATCAGAATGATAGCATGGGATGAAAATATTTTAAACCGATGGCAGGAATATTTCGATGAGCTTCTAAATAAATAAAAATAATAAACCAACAAAATAAGGAAGTTCAACCACCCACGATAGAAGAAATATATAAGTTAAAGAATAGCAGAAGTAAAGGATACGATGCAACTACTGCTGAGATGTTGAAATATTTTGGGAAAAATCAGCCGTGTCATTAACCCTGTATAGTTACTAAGACTATTATCAAACCAGGAAGTACATATTTTAGTAGGTTGAAAAGTCTTAGTCTCCAAACTTCAAAATCACCATATTTGACGTATAGCAAGTACTCAAAACTAAAAGATTTATTTAAAAAAACTTGCTGACAGTTTTATCAAGTAATGGAGACTACGGTCTTTTAAAAATATTCTCGCCGTTGTTGTTGCTAGATCCAACTTAAAGTTACAACAATTCTGGAAGTTTAATTGATAGATTATTCTATTTTCTTTATATCTAACTAAATCTGAAGGTGAATATAAATAAGTTTTGTCTTAACAAAAGACGCCAAATTTTGTCAGGTACATTGGAGAAGGTTAGTTTGATGCGAAACATATATGGAGTGTTTAAAAATAACACATTTTCAAATGCAAATTTGTTTAAAAATAGCATGATTTATTCATTGTAATTTAAAATTTTCAAATGGAAACGTCTGTATGTTATAGTCGCAATGAACACCTAACAAAAAAAACTATATCAAATAATGCCAGATTTAAACGCAGTAGAAAAACAAATTTCAGTTATTTTAAATTCCAAACTTGTCGCGACTTTAAGGTAGATCTGGCAATAGTGCAACAGTGAGAATATTTTTCAAATCCTATGGCCTCCAGTGACCACGATCAAAATTTGATAGCATTATCTCGCGGTTTCCTCGATACTTTTAATAGGCAATTGAGTTTGGAATGCATTGTATAAAGTCTATTAGCTAACATAGTTCATTTTACGATAAGCCTTTGTAACGCATTAAACTTGATTGATTTAATGTTCAGTCTCAGTTTTCGATAGCATATTGTATACTAGAATACAAAAACTACAGCAAAGATTGTTTTGGTATCTTGTCATCAATCATCAGACCTGTAACTTAAAACTAGTGAAAATTGAAAGATATATCGGCTTTTGGTACACTAATAAAATGGCGTTAATAAAAAGCGATGGGATAGTCAAATAATTTGTTTTTGTTTTGTTCATCTAGGACGGACAATATAGAAGTCTGCGTCTACCGAATATAAATACGTTTACCTAGATTTTACCACTGAAAGAATTTTGTTGTATTTAATATGAGTTAAAAAATCTCTTATATGGAATTTCCAGTGAAAAATTTTGAATTCTGCAGTCAAAAGTCCTACAACTGGACTGGCAAAGAGCTGGCAACTTTTTTCAAGCCTTTTACAGCATCATTTGCTTAAAACAGAATTTTAAACACCTTACCCACCAATTATTAGCGAATATCAGGTGATTAGGCATCGATGGTTGAAAATATGACAAAAGCCACTGTTTGCCACCAGTTGTTTAAAAAAATGTCATAAATACGAAACTACTTTAATCAGGTAGTTAAAATAATTAATTCAAACAAGACCACATTATTAATTTAGACCAGCAAATATAATCAATTTTTTAACTGCGTATTAAAACAACTTTTTTCTAACAGAAAAATTATTACTTTCGATAAATAATTAATATTTTTAATGAATTTTCACTAGAATAGGTTGGAACTTTGCATTCGGAAACGCCAGCATCCGGAATATGAATATATAGCAAACCTCACCACCACATTATCTACTACAAAGTAGTTTATTTAATAGGTGATTATTTACTTGAATGGTTTCTTCTACATTGTAAGTTAATAGCGGCAGACTTCAATTGCTTTGTTTATTAACTTCGCTTTAAAGCTATTTCGGGTTCAATTTTCTAAATACCCTAATAAAATATAAGAAAATCGATTCAATTTTTAAATGCTTAATACCAAATATAATTAAATAATTAATTATTCGTTAAAAATAAAAAAAAGGTTTGGAAAAGTTGACAGTATATTGAAATTAGGTGCATAGATTTAGTAGCCAATATTCATGCTAATTTGTATTTTATGCAAATGCAATTACTCACAAATTATACATATTTTTTAGTTTATGTCAACGCAACGGGTGCAAAGAGGTAGTTGGGACTTTCGAATCGCACTGTATACGCTGCAGTGCTTTTTAAAAAGTTATCTTCCACACTCTGTATATTGAATTGCTAAATTCAATATATTTGTCCAAGCTTTAATAATTAATGGTATTTATTACAATAGTAACTTTAATAGGTGGATTATTATTGGGTACCGTTTTCGTGAAAATGAACGAGAAAACAAGGCGTTAATTAGCCATATTTAACAAACGAAAGAATACTTTCGTTTGTCTGTTTGTCTCCATATTCAATAAAAATTAAATTTTTTATTCTCTCGGTTTCATTTAGATAAGGATGTAATTGTTACAATTAAAGACCTTTACTGGTACTAGTTATCTGTTTAATTTCCGTTTCTTATTATTTTGCTCATAAAAAGTAGGTATAAGGTATGCTACATAAATGTGGCATTCGAAAATGGATTTCAAAAATTTTTTGAATGAAGTCAAGGTCTGTTTGGTCTATGTAGAAATATTAAAAAGCACGAATACTTACTGATAGGTTCAGGTGTGATTGATATTAACTCGTTGGTGTTCAGCAGGTTCAGCTGCATCAGAAAAATAAAAGTTGCCAAAAAAGTGAGGGGCCTCAACGGCCGTACCAGTGCAGCTAAAGCCATCAGTGACGGCCCCAATTGGGCCGGATGCCTTCGAATGAGGCAAGGAAGACTATTTTGCACATTCGGCTCTGCAAAAGAACGCGATGTTTTTAATAATAATATAATATAATACGTTCATTTTCCACACAGACATTACTTTTTACAATTTGTATAAGAATGGTCCATTAAAATCATCAGACACATTAAAAAAATAACAATTATTTACGTACAAAATCAAAAAGGTATGTAAAACAAGTATTTACAGTGTATAAAGATTTTTTCAACAAAAATATTTTTATTTTTAAATACATATGTACCGAGTTCAAACATAAACAAAACTGGTAAGGTTAGGATTCAGTATTTGCTAAATAAATGTCCACTACTTTTTAGTAATCTTTATAGTGAAGGTTCTCATCGATCAAAATACCTAAATCCAGCAAACCGCAAAAAAAAAATTGGCTCAAAGAAGTATATTTATATTTATTTTATAAACCCAAACATAAGAATACACGTTACAAAGAAACTATTATAAATCAAAATGACTGGTTTGTGGTTGCGAAAGTCCTTGGTTACGTAATACAAAAGCAAGAGTTCTCAAGCCCTTGTGTGTGTGTGCTTCAAATGTTAACTCAGAGTCCAATATGATGCCTAAATCTTTGTCTTGAGTAACTCTCTTAAGTTTTATATTGTCCAATTTTAAGTCAATATTAATAGGTTGTTTTTTCCGTGTAAACTGTGTTATTTGGCATTTATCTAGATTTAAAAAAGTCTGATTTTTACAGTACATAGTAAACCTATGAAGATCAATCTGGAGTTCTAAAATTTCCGATTCCAATATCAAATATAAAAGTATTGAAACGTAAGGGTCCAAACTTCTTTACCAAAGACGGGCGATGAACCTTGTCAAAAGCCTTAGAGAGACATGACAATTGTTTCGAGAACACCGCGTCTTTATCAAATGTGTTGTCAAATTGCCATGTCAAAATATATAATTTCGTGAAAATCTGAACTTTTAGTTCTTATTTATTTTGATAAATGGATTTTCATCAAGTAAAAGCCACCTCAGTTCAATTAAAGGGATTAGGTTTATAAGTACCGAATATTTCTTGTGAAATCCATGTTAATACACGTCTATGTCATTCTTTATCAAGGAAAACAATTGGATGTAAATAACGGCTTCAAAGAGTAACCAACACTACCTACCTAGTTCTGTGGCATTACCAGACTTCAGGAGTACAACGGTTTGATGATGTAGATATTTTTGTTAAAAAGGCCTCGTTTTTTTCATTTTTTCAGAAAATTGCAGAGTAAAAGAAGAAATTAAACGTTAACGGTTTCGATTTTGATTTAATTGGATTCTTGGTTATTCCTCTAGGAACTAATAAGTAAACCACGTGCATTTGTTTCCAGGATACGACCTTCACCAGGATTAAGGCGACAGTCAAGGTGACAACAAGGTCCTGTTTTCTAATAAACGTTAATATTGCTTTCAACTCCGATCATTTATTTCCCACAAAAGTCGATAAGTGCTTTTACCGAGAGCAATAATTCTGAAATTAAAACTATTATACACGGTGGTTGACGTAACCGGCTCGTTCGCTGTGTCGCCACTTAATGAAAAATTATACCTTTAACACGTTATATTCATATGATTCTTTTTAACGATACTCAAAAATAACAGAACACAGAAAATACGCCGAGAAGGAGTTCGACGAAATTTCAATGCGTAATTTTTAAAGACAAAGTTTTCTCTGAAAACACAGTTCTTTATCTCTGTCGGCTTGTCTTTCAGTCACGTGTTTAATATGGCTAAATCACTAATTTCCATTTAAGCACCTAGTTTATTTGCCCGTGAATTTAATTTTGGATTCGAATAGTTTGGATGTTGTTTTCATAAAGCTTGAAATAAATTGGTTTACTGGTTTACCAGAAAAAAAAAACATTGAGTACTGATTGGTGGCTGACTGACGTCACATCATTTTGACTGGAAAATCGACACCGATCACATTCGTCGAACCATACAATAAAAAACAAAATACGAGAAACAATTGTGCAATCGAAACACTCTGTAATACAATTTACATAAAAGTTATATTATTGAGTTTGCACGAATTATGTGCTAGTAACAATATTTATTGCTGTTTGGTCTCTTTTTATACGTCAAGTCTTTGTAATTGCGCATTTTAAAAAACCTCCTCATACATTGTTAAGCTCATTACTTCGTGCGTTAATTGCAACAAGATTAGTTATTTAGATATGACGTATTTGAAATGCGTTTTCACAAAACAGAAACATATTTTGCTTTTAACAATAATTTGTAAAGAAATAATGAAAATAAGGATTTAAACTCAAAAACAAGGCATCTGTTTACTAAAAGCATTGATTATCAGCCATATTTCTGAGTTCGCTACGATTGTGTTATATACCAACAAAATATATACTTACCAGTCTTGCTCAATAAACACCGAAACATTTGTGACTCGCTCTTCAAAATGTACTTATACGAAATTTTGGCAAAAATGCATTTGAGCCTGATATCACTTATATAACTGAAGGAACGTATTGTTTAATACATAAATTTTACTCTTTAGTTGGTATATTTCAGGTTTAGAGACCGACTGAACAACCCAATCTGCGTATAATTCCTGTAGGTTATTTATTAGTTTCATCACATCATCTTCCATTCATCTTCGTCGACCAAACGAATGTTGAATGATCCGTTTTCCAGAATTAATTAATTAAGTAAGCAAAAAGGGCAAAAGTTCTAGCAACTTCTTTCAATTCACATGCCTTCTTTGTCTAATAGCCCTTCCAAGTATATCGTTATTTATTAATAACATCATGATTTAGGAAAAATAAATAGGAATCGACATTTATATTGATTTCTAATGCCATACAGAATCCTAATAATCAACAAAAATTTATGAGTTTGGATAAGTGATACCTATTTCTGTCCTATTTAAAAATTCTATAACTATTTAAAAGTTTAATATTCACTTTTACACAATTGTGCTAATTTCATCCAGCGTAGTTAAATAATCTTAATAAATAAATATATAAATAAATTTTTTCACTTGTTATTTAGTTGTGTATTTGAGACGCTATGCCTTTTTATAATTGAAGAATAGTCATTATCTCTTTGTTATAAGCTGTAACGTTGTAAAGCAAATTTGCAAGTTCACGTGTGGATATTACAAAACAATTTTAAGTTATATCGTTAGTAGCTTTAAGAGTTGTATGGTTTGTGCCTTTTTATAATTGAAGAATGTTCATATACTTATTGTTATTGGCTGTGATATTGTAAAGCGAGTTAGATCTTCAGTGCTGTTAAGGGTTATTTGCTTTGTGTACTTGATAATTAAAGACTATTCATTACCTTATTGTTATTGCCTGTGGTGTTGCGAATCAAGTTTATAAGTTCATAAGTGGATATTGTAAATCAATTTCATGTTATATCCTTAGTAGTTTTAAGAGATATTTGCTTTTGTATATTTGAGAGGTTATGCCTTTTTATAATTGAAGAATGTTATAAACCTATTGCTATTGGCTATGATGTTGATAAGTGAGTTAAATCGTTAGTGCTTTTAAGAGTTTGTGTATTTGAGAGGCTGTGCTTTGTTATAATTAAAGAATATTCATCAACTTACTGTTATTGCTTGTGGTGTTGCCAATCAAATTTATAAGTTAATGACTAGATATTGAAAAATCAATTTCAAATTATCTCGTTAGTGGTTTTAAGATTTATTTGCTTTATGTATTTCAGAGGCTATCCCTTTTCATAATTGAAAAATATCCATTAATTTATTGTTATCAGCTGTGGTGTTGTAAATTTTAATTTATATCATTAGTGGCTTAAAGAATTATATAGAGTTATAAAGAATTATTTGGTTTATTCCTTTTTATAATTGAAGGATGTTCTGAAACTTATTGTTATTGTTGCTTGTTGCAATTCAAGAATATTAATAAATTTATTGTTATGGCTTTATATTAATTTATATTGTTATCGGCTGCGGCGATATAAAGCAAACTTACAAGAATTAGTTACAGTGTTTCTTAGTGATGTGGCCTTTTGTATTTATGACAACATAATCTCGAGGGTTCACAAACACATTGTGTGATATGTCCATTTACAAGTTGATTTTTGAATTTGGGGAAAAAATAAATGAGAAACTTCCGGATATGGACCACATTTCTGCCTAGGTCGTATTGTCCTTAGGTAGATTAGCCTCTAAACCCATTCTAAACTTTCAAAACGATAAAGCACGTTTTGTTTATAAGGAATTTCGCTCATATAGCGGACACACTGCAATTAAAACAATTAAATACATAGGCTCGTGATTTACGTATAATTTGTTTGATTTATTCTTATTGTTTACTAATCACGCATACGGTGACTTGAATTCATGAATAACGTCGAAAAATTATCCAAAATCCCGCTGGGCGAGTAATGAAAACCACCGAATCCACTTATGTAGAACGGCAAGTGGCGCAAAAACCAAATCATCAAACGCTAGACCACCCAACGTGAATGTGAACCAAATCTAAAATTTAAAAACTTTTTGTTTAACTAATTATTAATTACTACTTTCACTGTGCCGAATTGTTTGAAACTTTTTTTAAAATCAAGTTTGGGATAAGTGTTTTTATTGTTTTTGCGAGTTTACTTTCTCTAGTTTGCGTGGGGCCGATAAAAATTTCATTGTTTCGACGTTAATTTTGCTTTGCAAAATAAAAAACGTACAACGCGATTACGCGGTCTTTAATTACAATCATCGTGTTTACATATTTGACGATGGAATAATTAACGCAAATTTAATCGTGAGCCTGTTATGTAGTTTGCCGAAAACAATACTTACACGACAATTTCGGATGAAGTTTTCCAAAGCGCCTTTGAAACACAACAAAACTTTCGAAGCAACTGCCGACTGAAACGTAAAAGATCACGTCTACCTTAACTTATTAATTGTTAATGACTTTAAATTAAATCTCTAAATACCGACTGCAAAAACAACAGGTCAAACGATAGAGATCAATTGCGTTGTAGACGAGAGTCAAATAGATCCAATATTAAACGTGGGGTCTCGGGTTG